CAGAATTAGTAAAGTTTGACTACATTTATTTCAGAAGCATTTTGGCTGTAGAGCAGTGTAATCAAAGCTTAAAAACACATGCATAAGGATTTCAAATTCCAAAACAGTAGCCCTGAGAGAGCCCCAGTTGTGGCCTCTGAATCACTGAAAGTTTTGCTTAGAGGTTTAATGGCTTTGTTTCCAGCTTTAAAAGAGTTATGGTTTCGTAAAACACAAAGAAAACATTCAGACAAGGATATTTTATAATATACAGAAAAGCAGGTCCTAAAAACATTTTTTAAAACTACCTAAAATCTTTTCTAGAATAAATATGTGACATGGTAGTAGTGCAGTAGAGCATACGAACAAACTTGCTGACATTGGAATGCTGCTTGTGCTCACCTTGCTAACCAGGACAAGTCTTTGATGAGTATGGAAGCAATATGAATGGGACCAATTCCCCTGGTTGGGGGGTGGAGGGGAAGGAGAGGGGGTTGGGGCTACTGGGGCCGCACTACATGTGCTCCCATTGGTTCCTCCTGATGTTCTGCAGCGTGTGGGTAAAGGAGAGATTGGTGCTTTTTTCTCATCCACTTACCCTCACCCCCATCCCCTATCCTGTAGGACCTGGGGTGTGTGTTTTGCAGTTGGTGATATGAGGTCCAGTAACTCAACAAGCTGCTTGGGCAGGGTCCCTGAGCACAATATTACACAGTGAGGGTGTGGCCTCCATGTCTCATGCAGTGTATGGGCTCCCTTCATCTCATCTCTCCTACTTCCTGTGTGGAGGAGGGGAATATTTTGGGACTCTGGCTTCCAGCCAGGGTTCCTGGGCAGGCCTGAGGGTGGAGAGGAGGCACTGCCCTTGGACTCACGCTCAGGTTTGTAGAAACCTCATGCACAGTTGAAATCAGCACTAGATCAGCCCTGCTAGGTAGTTTGGGGAGTGGTTTCCTTGTCAAATAATCTTTTAAATAAAGTAGCAGTCTCCACATTTATCCATACTGTGGCATACATGTCACACTGTTTCCATATCCACAACAATAGTGTCAGGCGACATCTGTTTTGATTATATTAACTGGTCTTTAAATAAATAGGAATCTTGAACGAAAAGTGCTTGGTTTATTTTTAAAATGCCTAACGCTCAAATAAACGTATCAAAATTAAAATGGAGACTTTTCAAGTGTGGCTCTACCCTGGAAGTTACTATAAAAAATACATGGGTAGAAATGAACAAAACATTTTGGATGACAATAGGAAAAAGCGTTTCACAGAAATTTTCATTGTTCTCCTTCCCCACAAGGTTCAGCCTGGGTTTCACATTTATTATGTCCACATTGACTCGAACATAAGATTTTGATCAGCTTAGAAGTAAAAAATTACTTTGCTAATTTCCAGGCCTACAAATTCAGCCAAAATCTGAGAGGTGAGCTAGATTCTTTCCTTCTCATGCATTGCCATCCATAATAAAGGTTCTGCAAGCTGAACAGTGCCCTCATTTATAACTCTGCAAAATCACTGCCTTCAAACATTTGTTTAATATGCAAGAAGGAACAGTATCCAGCACAGACACATAGCTATTTCAGCTTTGCAATGTTAACTTGAGCAAAAAAGTAGGTAACTTCTTTCCCATCCCCACTCGTGTAAGCAGTTCTGACTGACATACCCAGACAACAGCTCTTCTGAGTGAGATGGTGCCATTTTTGTACATTGACACTTCTCAGAGTCCAACTTAAAAGCCACATTTGAGAGCTTGGGACTTTATGCATCTTATGAGATATCTCATGGAATTTGGGAGTATCCCCCAATTCTGAAGCGACAACACGTTATATACTCCCTCTCCTATGAAATAAAACACATTCTAACCACAGTATAAAATGCTTTGAAGTTGCAGCTCAGGCTCTGAAGCCTTGGGATGAAAGTGGGCTTTAGAGCCTGAACTCAAGCCTGAGCCACAACTTCAAAGCACTGATTACACAGCTAGTTTTAGCGTGCTAGTGCGAGCACCAGTGTCCCAAGCCTGTCAGCCTGGGCTGGGAAGCTCACTACTGCAAGCTGACCAGACATACCCTTAGAATGCAGCACGTTAGCTCTACAAATCAGACTCCTCTAATGCACTTTAACACTCTGTGTAGACAAGCTCTTAGTTTTGCAAATACCCAAAACACTTAGGTATGTGCAAGCAAACTTTGACTAGAATTCACTGGGGGTATCTGTGCACTTACACAGAGGCGTGCAAATGTGCATATGACTTTTTACATACATGTTTGAACATCTGGCCCTAAATTTATTTGCACAAGGGGACTTCAACAGCTAAACAGAGGCTGAGATTCTGAATTCAGTTGTAAAACTGAAATAACTACACTGAAATCAGTAGTTAATTGGAATTGGAAAAGGTTCAGAAAAAGGCAACAAAAATGATTAGGGGTATGGAATGGCTTCCGTATGAGGAGAGATTAATAAGACTGGAACTTTTCAGCTTGGAAAAGAGACGGCTAAGGGGAGATATGATTGAGGTCTATAAAATCATGATTGGTGTAGAGAAAGTAGATAAGGAAGTGTTGTTTACTACTTCTCATAACACAAGAACTAGGGGTCACCAAATGAAATTAATAGGCAGCAGGTTTAAAACAAACAAAAGGAAGTATTTCGTCACACAATGCAGTCAACCTGTGGAACTCCTTGCCAGAGGATGTTGTGAAGGCCAAGACCATAACAGGGTTCAAAAAAGAACTAGATAAATTCATGGAGGATAGGTCCATCAAAGGTTATTAGCCAGGATGGACAAGAATGGTGTCCCTAGCCTCTATTTGCCAGAAGCTGGGAAGGAGCGACAAGCATAGGCGCCGACTCTGTGGGTGCTCCGGGGCTGGAGCACCCACAGGGAAAAATTAGCGGGTGCTTAGCACCCACCAGCAGCCAAGCTCTCCTCGTCTCCTCCTCCCCCTCACGCGCTGCATCCCCGCTCCTCCCCGTCCCTACCAGCACTTCTTGCTGCCCAGCCACTTAACAACTATTTGGCGGCGCTTTGGACTTTCTGGGAGGGAGGGGGACGAGCAGGGACACAGCACACTCAGGGGAGGAGATGGAGAAGGCGGTGCAGGGGTGGGGAGGGGATGGATCGTTTGGGTATTACCTGTTCTGTTCATTCCCTCTGGGACTCCTGGCACTGCCCACTGTCGGAAGACAAGATACTGGGCTAGATGGACCTTTGGTCTGACCCAGCAGGGCCATTCTTATGTTCTTATGATGTAACTGAGATTGAATTCTGGCCCCAGGAACACACAGAAGGTTCAGCCAAGTTTTCAGTATTTTCAAATATATGTTAGATATACAAGGAGTTTTAATCTGGATAAATAAAATTAATTTTTAACACACAGTATAAGCTCAGAGAATTTCTACATCCCAGAGCCCATTAAAAAGTAGAAATACACCTCTACCCCGATATAACGCTGTCCTCGGGAGCAAAAAAATCTTACAGCGTTATAGGTGAAACCGCGTTATATTGAACTTGCTTTGATCCGCCGGAGCGTGCAGCCTCACCCCACCGGAGCACTGCTTTACCGTATTATATCCAAATTCGTATTATATCCGAATACATGTTATATCGGGGTAGACGTGTACACATACATGAATGACTGGACACAGCTTTATACAGGTAATGTAGATTTTACCTTGGAGGCAATAGCATTTTTATGCTTCCTAGACTCAGCATCACTTTCAGAGTCAGATTCTGATTCGGAGTCCGATGAACTTTCCTCTGTTGAGCTAGATTCTGAGTCAGAGGAACCAGAACTTTCCCTTTTTTTGGAAATCATCTTTGTTTTCTTCTCTGTGTCATCTGAGTCACTATGTGTAAAAAGAACAGGTTCTTCATTCATTTTTAAAGTCCAGGAATAATGAACAATATCTGATTGTAAAAAAGAAACCGGCATATAGAAAACAAACGCTCAGAAAATGTTCTACACTCTGGCATTCCAAACCTTTAATAAACCAGGCTCTCATTACAACTGAAACCTGGTGAAGATGGCACAAACAGCAAGACAGATCCACAAAATTATATAGACATTACTGTGTATCTCTAAATAAACTATCTTACCACATTATCCAAACCCATCAATTACATAATCACATACACTTCAAAAAGAACAATAAAATGGAAAGGTCATAAACCACCACTAAAAACAAAGTCATCAATAACTATTAAGAGAATAACTAATGTCTGGGTGTCCTAAATTTATGGCATTTTCTAGAAAAATGTGTCTACCGTATTACACTGAGAAACTTTCAGACTAGGTAAGCTTTGATTAAAGGAATCTGGATGGATTTTAAAGCTTTTTCAGGGGCAAATCAACATCTCTTTTCTGGTCAATTTACTATTGTTCATTCATGCTTCTAAATTAAATTAACTAGAAAGAGAAACATTTATAAAAAGAATTGGTCTGATGCTGGAATGGGCCAACACACAGTGCTACTGTTGTGCCACACCCTCTCATCCTTTCTCATGCTGAGTAGTACCTTACTGAAATAGCCCATGCATGTCAGTGGAATATTTCACAGGGCAAGATACCACTCAACAAGAGTAAGGCAACTATATAGAGCATGGATTTTTAATGGAAGTTTTGATTCTGGGTTTTAAATAAATTTTACACTTTTGCTAAGTCTTTGGGGAAATGAAGGTATGTGCCCTGTGATGCTACTGTTCCACAAGATGCAAAATATTTTACAGGGAGAAAAAAAAAATCTAAGGAGACAGAAAAAAGTTGGGAGAAAAAAATCAGTATTTCTTGGAATTGAATTCTCTGTACCTAATATGATTCTAACTTATTCAAAATGGAGATATGATAATACTACACAGCACATGTAATTATATTTTAACTCTAAAAATTATATTTTTAGAACCAAAGGAAAGTAATACTGCTTAAGGCAGTAGCTTTAACATGTCATTAATCTAAAATGGAACAAGAGCGCTACAGCCCCATGTAGAAAGCAACTGTTACAAGAACATATTTGTTTTTCAAAACCAAGGTGAAACAAATGGGAGGTTTTTGAAGGAACATAAGAATTAAACTGCATATACAAAAACCTTCCACAAACATTTATTTATGAGGTCACTAAAAAAAGTCACAATTTTCTTCTGTTTAAACATAGTTATTCATTCCAATCAAAATGGTGCCAACCAAACCCATCTCTGTTTCCTCACAGTCCCTATATGGAACCTATACAACAGTATTTGCATTAAAAAAGAATCCACTGTGAGACAGATATTCTTTTAGTTCAATAAGTAAAGCAATTTGTTTTAAATAAACACAGCTTCTAGCTTTAAGATAAGTTTTTCAAGATAAAAGTATTATTTTATTATGCATCATTCAATTTTGATGGGTAATCATTGTTTACCTTACTACTTAGAATTTCACATGTTAATCTAATGAAAAGAATTTACTGGTAACTAGCTTTTTAACTTTGCAATGATGAAAAGCCTGTATTAATTTAACCTACAGATTTCATTTGTTCTGAACAGGAAAAACAATATAAATCACTTTTAAAATCATTAAATCCTGACTTAAATTAATAAAGTCATAATTAGGGCATTATGCTGTGTTTGTTATGGAAGTGGCAGGGCGAGCTGCTTTAATTACTGTCTGTAATAAAAGGAGCAGAGTGCGTACTGCGCCCCAATCAGCGCTGTCAGCCACGACTGAGCTGAGCTGCAAACTCATCAAGTGAGCTGGCAGCAGGCTACAGAGTAAAGGGCGATCATGTCTGCAGAGGCCACTTGCTGACAGCAGTGGAAAAAACAGATTCATACAATCCAAGGTATTAGCCCCAATTACTCAAAATTTTAATGATACTTTAATACATTATAACGCTGTTAATAATGGACAGTCTTAAAAAACGCTAACACTTAAATATCTTATAACTGTCTCCCTTCACAGCCCTTGCCTCTACTATTTGGATCATAATCTTTTTAATATAACATTATTTAGAAAAATCAATTGTCTTAGTTACATAATGGCAAAGTGTTGAAGGATTTAATTTTAGCCCTCAGCAAAATTGCCGCAAAAGGTAATTAAGTGTTTCATACAACTGCCTGATCCGTTAACCAGCCTCCCAAGGTTACTTCTATTTCAGAAAGCCACCCCAAGATTTTGCTACTGAGGTATGAAAATTCAGCTTAAGAAGAGTTTAGTTAATGAAAATATGAAACACATACATTCAAATTATACTGAAAAAGGTAATGTCAAAATGTGTGGGCGTCTACGGCTCTTTTAAGCCAATGTTTTCAGATATTTCCACTGAGTCAGGAAAGTAGCCTAATTTGGTATTCAAAACAGACAAAGCATTCTGAAATGCTCTTTAAAGGATAAAAACACACAACATATTTACCTTTCCTCAGTAGTTTTGAACTTTTTCTTTGCACTACCTTCTTTGCTCTCTGATTCACTGTCACTCAGTTCTTCACTTGAACTCTCACTATTCTCCATGCTGCTGCCTTCTTCCTTCCCATTTTTCTCTTTTTCACTTTCACTAGTAGATTCACTCTCTAAAAACACAAAAACACTGCATCTTAAATTTTTATTAATATAGTTTTATATATGTAATACATAGTGCAGCCCAAATGTGTATATAGCTATAAAAGAAATGCATAATTTTATTCACCAGATTCATTTAATATTTACCCAGAATGCAAAAGTTTTTTGTTTTTTATTTTCTTTATCCCTAACTCGTAAATTTTGCTATTTCAAAAGGCTGTTCTCTTGAACACACAGTACTGTACCTGTCCAAATTAGGACACTTAATTAATTAGTTGTACCAGGATCCTTACCAATACTCTTGAAAAAAAAAAATGTAAACACAAGGAGTAAGAAATGACTTCCTGAATCCTCTAGTCCAAGCCTTTGCTCTAATGAAGGACTACCCTCCACACTAATTGCCTAAGTATTTAATTTAATTTAATCTTGAACACCTGTATTGACGATGATTTAACCACCTATTTCAATAAGTTATTCATTCTCTAACTAACCTTATAGTTGAAAAACATTCCTAATGTCTAACTTAAATGTATCCTTTTCTAGCTTCATCCACAAATCACCCTAAATAATTCTCCTCTACTAAGATGCACTCATTTTTTAGGGGGAATTCAGATGTGAAAACATCTCTTTTCCATGCATTTCAACCTTACATACACACATGCTAATTCTTCTGATTCTCAAATGCTAAACATTGAGGTCCTGATTGCCCACTATGTCTGAACTATATTCAGATGCAGTGGAGAGAGGCAGCCTCAAGAAGCTGCTTATGTGGCTTTAAGTACCCTTAAAGGACTGGAGTATTTGGACACAAAGTTCCTTACTTCACTTATTTCACACAACACCTCTGATATGAACCATCTGCCATTCTTTCCCCCATCATTAGCCCAATGTCTCCATAAATAGAAAGTCTGGTACTCTATAGCGAGAGCATAATGCAATCAAACCTCCATTAATAGAAAACCTAGTAAAATATACTATAGCAGTGATACTCAGACCTCAGTGGTTCAGGAGCCAAATTAGTGATCATCATTAACCAAAAGAGCCACAGTCATGTAAATTCATTGTTTCATTTACTACAGTATTATATATTCATATTTAAACAGCATGACAGGGGAAATATTTAGTTTTATATTATTATTATTTTTATTTATTATTCTCACTGAGTGAGACTGACCAAGTATTATTTTATCAACTACAATTGGTTAATAACAAAGTAAAAGTATCCTGACTGGTTAATAATTAAATCACACTGTTTTAATATCATGTGCTGCAAAAAGCTGCAGGATACACATTAAAGAGCCACTTGTGGCTCTCAAGCCGCAGTTTGAGTATCGCTGCACTATAGCATAGCTGGGTATTAACATGCCATTGCATGTGGCCAAAACAGATACCTCAGTAAAAGCCAATTAAAACACTTGGTATCCAATCCTGAGAGATTATAAATATCTGCAACTCCCTCCAACTATGTCTGTAGGCATTTTTATTCCTAAACAGTATGCACATTTGACTTCAGTGAGTTGCAGAACCTCTCAAGATCAGTCAAGTTTGATAAGAGTAAAGCCTTCCCATGTATTTTAACTAAGAAACAAAGTAAAGTTTATTAAACTCATGTAATTTACATACTTACAGATGACATTAGCCTTACAATTAGTACTTATCACACAGCTGCCATGAAGTTAAGTGTAAGCATTATTCCCCCATTTATACATAACACTGATGTTTTTTTTAACTGCTCCAGCTGTAATGGCACCACATTTTGATGGTATGATACATCAAAGAGACTCGTAATTAGTAGCCACATACATACCGGTGTCAGTAGTACTGGCTGATTCCTCCTCCTCTGAATCAGAGTAAAACTTCTCTGTAGGTTTCTCTTTCTTTGCCTTGCCTAATGCTACAGACCATTCTTTTCCCTGTAAGTGAATCACAAATGTTTCTACATATGTAAACTTAAATTGAAAGTGTTCAGTAAAATAATTTACTTCTATATTCAGTTATGTAGGAAAAGAGAGACAATATGGCGAAGAAAGCCAATGGGATCACAGACTGTCTCCAAAAAGGAATATTATATGTAAGATAAGGGAAATTATTATAGATTGTATTATAAAACCAGGAGTACTAGATCACTGGGTCCGGCTGAGCTCAGCTTTCCACAAGCCTTGAGGGACTAAAGAATGAGAAAGGTGGCTATATACCACCTTCAGGGCCCCCAAGTTTTAAGTATAATCTTAAGACTGCTCTATCTTGTTCTAGGCTACAATGTTCCCCCCCCCCCCGCAAACAGGCAATTTTTACTCACCAGAACACACACGTTCTGGCCATTTCCTTTTCTCCTCATTCAGTACTCTATTAGAAACAAGTGGATATCTCACATGATCAATTTCTTGTGACTGCAGCAGGCAAACACCTTACTATCTTCAATATTAGGTGTAAAGATGTCTTCATACCTTCTTTCAGGCCCTCCTCTACCCCTGGAATGCCCTTCCTGAACTGATTAGCTTGCCCACAGACCCCCCTCATTCAAGTCCCTCCTTAAGACCCATTTTTGCTGCAATTTCAGCTGGAATAGTTGCAAACAGATCATCCATTTACTAAAGAAGAGATCCCAACTCTTTACAACATGCTATGCCCTAGCCCTTGTAACTTATCTTATCGGCTGCCTCATTGTCCCTGGCTGTCTTACTGCCTGCTAAGTACATCATATTTAATTTAGCCTGGCAGTTGCTCAGGACAGAGATCACACGCCTTTACAGAAGCTTTTCTGGTTTGGGGGCTGTCTATCTCACCTCTGATGTCATAATAGTAATTTACACACACACGCATGATTTTCAAAAGTCAAAAGCCCACTGACTAAATGGGACTTGTGCTCTCAGTTAGGTGATTTTGAAAAATAAAATCCAACCCATCATATATACATGTGGAGACTAGAGGCTCCATTCAGGATCAGGGACCCATCATGCTACATGACATACAAACACATGGAAAGACTACGCCCTGCTCTGAGTTCACAATATAAGCATGAAATTAGTATGAAGCTGGAAGACTGAGTCTTAATTCAAAAACTGACTATCCCACCAGAAGATGAAGAAAAGTTATACATTGTGCATTTTAGGTTTTCTGAATAGATTTTGCATACCACTGTTTCTTTCCCCATCCCCATTATACTATGAAAGATATGCAAAGGACACATTCATGGTTTATCTTTGAGTCCATTGTTTGCTCTTGTTTATAATGATACTTTCTTATTTTCTTCTGTTTAGGCTTAGATTGGATTAAAGGTTATATTAAATGGGAAGAAGTTTCCTTTACTGCAACTTCTGCACCATCAACTGCAATCAAAATGTTGCTGCACAACTTACAAAAACTCAATAAACCAAGGTGAAGAAAACTCACGGAAGTGAGTAAAAAAATATCCGTGAGGAAGATAGAAAAAAGGAACATTTTCCATGAGGAAACACACACTGCATCACAGTGGGGGAGCGTCTAATTTTTTCCCCCATGAAAAGGAATATTACATGTAGAATAAATATTTAAAACCTGGAAGTCTCCAGTTTCAGATGTAGGCCACATGAGATGAGTGGATTCAATTTACAGTTTATACAAATCAAAAGAATAATTTAAAACCATTTTGAAAGGAAAGAAAATCTTTTATATAACAAGACTATTTTATCTTAAATGTCTACAAATACGTTAAACGAAGTTACTCTTAATGTCAGCGTACCAACTCAATTACTTCAACATTTCGTACTGATGGGTCAGGCGCCACCTCTGGCCAATTAGATAACTCCAGGTACCCAATGGCTTTGGTGTTCAGAGTATGAGATAAGGTGCCAAGCTGGAAACGATCCCTATCTATTAAAAAAAGGGGGGAGAGGGGAAAATATACAAACAACATGAGCTCTATATCACAAAGAGCAATCTTAATCATGGCTAAAGGTAATTGGCATTATATTACCTCAAATGTCATGGAATAAATATAAACTAGGAAGCTCTTCATAGGTCAAAAAACTGATTTCAGTCCATAGATTACAATAATCTCCCCCATAATGGTCAATAAAAAAGCTAATCAGTCAGTGTGTTTAGAGGTGTTGCTCTGAAATGTAGCTTCTCTAAAAATTACTTTACTGTGAATATTAAGAATGACAGCACAGTTAAACAATCCATATACATGTCTTGGCACAAACACATCCAGAATTTTAATAGTTTTTTTTTCAAAATGAAGCTGCTTTTAGAGCTTTAAATCCAGGATTAAATAACTATATACAAATTAAAATGGCAAAGAAGCACCACAATAAGATTATATTTTTAATTGGGAAGATAACTTTTTAATAGGAGAGAATACTATATAGTAGTTGTGATTTTTAAAAATACCTAGGGAAAACAAGTATCAGGGAAATAGCCACATCTGAACAATAATCTGAATAGATTAAATTTTTATTAAATTTCATATGGATAATGTATTAACAATAGTTACACTAATATCCCTCTATTAACGTGGACAATCTTGCTGAGTGGCAAAGACCTCTCTAAATAAAAGAGAAGTTTACTCTTACTTGAGATATATACTTTCTATTATTCAAACCAAATTTAAACCCAACATGAATAGAAAGCGATAAGCATGTTCAGGATTATTAGGTAAATAGGATATGTGGGCAACATACAAACCAAGATGTTGTTATGACTTTAAACCTTGCTTGTTGAAAAGCAAGTGATTAAGCAAAGTGCATACTGTTCTCATTTGTATTTGCTAAGTGACACAATTTTAGGCACATTAGAAATAGAATATGCTGCCACATTGCTTTAGGCTATAAACATTCTGCAGATGATTTTGGCAGTCATACCTTTAAAAGGAGACTCAAGCAATGGGGCAGGTTTCTGTGCCAGAAATATTTTTTTGGCATATTTGCTTAAAGCTCCACTCTTCTCGTTCGGAACAATAAGCTGCCTAATAAATCTTGTACGGTCTCTGATGTCGTAGCTTTGATCATACTTGCCGAGATTTAGTATGTACTGGGTAAGCAATTTTGTCTGCGGAAAAAAAAACAGGACAAGAAGAGAATACAAGTTATTTATGATTATTGATAACTCTGGATAAACATATTTAAAGAGGTAATAAAAATGAATGGTTATGTCAAACAAATGTTGTTCCATAGGGAATATGCATTTCTAATGCTGCAAATGGAATTTTGAAGCCAAACCACATGTCCTCTTCTGTACTGGGGAGGTGAATGCTGAGTACTGAGAAGCAGCCATGTGCTAGATTATTAAACTGCTGAAGTGGAAAGAAAGGCATCATTAAAAAAATAATCATATATGGCAAACCCGCTGAAGGGTCTACGTGAGGATAATGAATGTGGAAATACAACTAAAAACATGGCACTCAAAACTTAATCGGAAAAATATGCAGGACATCAAAACATCAGAGGGTATTAGGGGGCTGGCAAACTGCTTCTGCTGAGGTGTGTTTTATGAAGAGATACTGTCCCTGGCATAAGCAGTGTCTGCACTCTGACTGCACTCAGTTACTTTACCCTGAATTATGACCCATTAAAGCAGACACATGAATCACTGAACTGGATTACTGCAAATTATTTGCAGTGCATTTAGCTGTTACTTTTTCATAAAAGCAAGCTGCTGATGCCCTCTAAAAACCAGGATAAAAGACTTCTTCCATTTATTTCTTGCAGCTTAAAGCCTTCAGTAATACCGGTCATTTATTTATTTATGTAAGGGAGCAACTTATATTATCGCAGCTTTTTACAGCATAATAGGATTTCCTAATTTGATGTCTGAGAATATTAACAGGAATTGAGTAATTTTAATAATTCAGTTTAATTTTAATAAAACAGGGAAACACAGAAAACATGAACATTCTGCTGCAAAAAACTTAGATTTGCGGAACACAGTGTAAAGAGAATAGATAGATAGAGCTGCAAACCACTTATATAAATACATTTCCAAGCCGTTAAAAGAAAAACTGCTAAAAATAATTTGATCTGACAAATAAATAAATTTTCAGTGCACCAATCAAAACTGATGAATAATGAAGGGATTTTTTTAAAAAAACACTAAATTTGTCAAGGGGAATTTTGTATATTGAAAAACAAAAGCTCCTTGCATATTTTATTTTTTGTCATGCATTTAGCTTTATTTTTGTGCTGTATTATAACAATAACTCAAGAGTTTTAATAGTGTGGGATAGAAATTGATACCAATGTGTGTCTAAAAATGTCAATGTAAAGTAAAATTTACTAGAAACATTCACTTTAACAATTTCCACTGTTATAGTGAAAATAGGGTTATATGACTTTCCATAGATGCAGATATTTTTTTCTGAATGATTTTGATTAACTGGTGTAAAAATGAAAGAGTAATAAAAACAGAGAACTTTATTTTTCCTCTAGAAAATGTGGGGTATGTAAATATATCACAAGATGTGCTATCATGTCAACAAAAGATTTGAAAAAAATACAATTTCTAAGGATGAAAAGTATACTTCTTAGTGTTCTCTCTTTTCAGTGGGCTCTTCCTCCTTTCCCTTCTCCACTTTTATCGGGCACCTAATGGAGATTCTATCAAAAGGCTTATCCTTTCATGGTACCGTATGAACTCTGGAAAAGGGATAGTTCTCTTTATTTTATCAAATTTGCATGTTATAAAATGAATGTTTTTATTATGATATACACAAAGTAATAAAACTGTACCCTTATATCAGACAGAAAACATATAATCATCTGGACTCATGCAGTGTTTATGCTGTACAGTCCAAATGAAATGCACTGTCTTGGAAAGGGGGTTCTCAGGTGCCAAAGGTTAAACTAAATCAGGTTATCCCTTCTGCAACATTTGCTATCAGGGCTCCCTGGCTGTAAATTAAAACTAACCCCCTCTCAACCTGCCAGAAACTCCGACAGAACAGAGTGGAGAAGATTACAGCCTTTAATTGTAAATTGCCACTGGGGCACATAGGTCCTTGCTGGCATGGAGACAGCGCTTTATACCTCCCTGCACCAGCATTGGTGAATAAATTTGGTCCTGTAAGGTTTAGTTTTGCTTACGAGCAGAATCTTTCCATTCAAAAAAAGAGATTACATAATCCCAAAATATACAATTAACTTCTATGTCCTGCAGTCATCATATAGACACACCAAATTTGGATTCCTATAGCCCCACAGAAGAATGCTTTATGTCTCCGAGTTTCCTTCAAGAGCAATAACTTGCTCAGAGTATCATATGCAGCATTCAATACGGAAAGACTAATTGCTCTTGTCCTGTGACAAAGCAACCAAACTTTCTAGAATATATGTGGAGGTAAATAATAAAAATAATGGCTTCTCGATTAACAAAAACAAAAAAAATTACAACTAATGTATACATATCAGTTTATGGCGACAACTTTCCCAACAAAGGGAATAATCATATGAGAGATTAAAAGGATTTGAGTGGACAAGTTATTCTGGAGGAATAGGATAAAGAGGTCCAGCAAATTTAATTTGTAGTATGAGAAGATAAAATGTCAGATATATTTCCAATAGCATATCACAGCAGCACAGTTAAAAAGAAATATACCCCCTCCCAAGTTGGGGTGAGGATATTTGTTTCATAGAGTTCATAGAGTTTAAGGCCAGAAGGGACGATTAGATCATCTAGTCCAGGGGTGACCAAACTGTGGCTCATGAGTTGCATGCGGCTCTTTTATAATTAAAGTGAGTCTCACGGAGCCCACCCCACCATTCTCCACCTACCAGACTTGGTGGGGGGAGAGCTCGGGACTGCTGCCTTGCAGCAGGGTGGTGGGGTAGGGGCTTCTGCCCAGCAGGGAGGGGGGTCTCAGGGCTTCTGCCCCGTGAGGCACGCCTGCCAGGAGTTAGGGGCTTCAGCATGAGCAGGGCTGAACCCCTGAGCCCCAGCAGGTGCCTCCCACAGGTCAGAAGCCCCGAGCCCCAGCAACCGTGCCATAGCTCTTGAAGTTCTGAAGATTGTCATATGTGGCTCGGAGAATCAATAAGTTTGGCTACAGCTGCTCTAGTCTGACCTCCTGTATGTCACAGGCCATCACATTTTACCCAGATACCCATATACTGAGCTCAATTACTTTCATTAGTCTAAAGCATTTCAGTCCTCAATTATGTGCCACTGGCAGAGAAGAGATCAACATTCAACTAATGCTTGAGGCCTTGCAATGGCAGTGAACTGATTAGGTGTAATACACCCAGATCATCCCAGCAAATGATCTTTACTCCACGCGTCTAAGGAAGGCAAAAAAATCTGCTAATCTGACTTTAGGGAAAGTTCCTTCCTGACCCCAAATCTGGTGATCAGTTTGACTCTAAGCATGTAAGCAAGACACACAAGCCAGGCATCTAAAAAAGAGGATTCTCTGTACCACATCGGAGCACTGGTTTCAACCCTGCCTGTTGTCCCTTCTCCAGAGGAAGGCGAAAAACAGTGTGTATGGTCAATTGTGCCATCAGGAGGAATCCTTCCTGATCCCTCCAGGTGACCATCTGAAGCCCTGAAGCATGAGATTAGATTAGTCATTATCTCAATGGAGAACTGCAAGTGTTACAAGCATGTTGAGGGCAATGCAGACAATCTTGTTCTCCCAATGGCTCAGGAAGGAAGGAGATCCAGGGAGATTCCTAAAAAATTTGGGGAAAGAGGAAATTTCATGCATAGTAATTGGACATTTCTATTATATCAAGAATGTTGGGGTGCTATTCATAACAAAATGTAACATTGTTGGATATACCAAATGGTATTTAGTAATCTCTCTGTTGCTTTTTAGTAGAAGCCACACTCAAGAAAATACAGAAACAATCTCTGATACATTAGTAGCCACTAAATTACTGATAGATTCTCAGTTGAAAAAGAAATCATATCCTTCAAGTCTAGTGATATATTTGTGCATTGGAAGCTGCTTTCTTCATGACACATACTGGAACAGCTGAGGGTGTCTGTTGCGATGCTGAGTTTTATATATATTGGGAACACTCAAAGAGAAATTATTTTCTGCCATTTCAGGCTAACCTCTTGGTCAGTTCCTTCTATGAGGGTTGAAGGCTAACGGAATAGACTATGACCAGATACTATAAGTCTGAAGCAAGAAATGAGGAAGTGTTTGTTGCTGTTTGACCATTTGTTTTGCACCAATATCTGCTTCACATTGGTTCTACAGCTGAAGAGATTAATTGTTCCAGTTGACAGCAGATATGGCATTCCCTTCTGAAAAGCTTGATTCCACAAACATTTCCTGAAATTCTCTGAAACTAAGAAGTATCTAAGTCCAATTTTGAGAAGACAGGCAAGGAAGGAGCTACTGTGCAGCTGAGAGTATTAATTTGCAATAAGTAATAAAGCAAAGCAGCTGAATGACTTTCCTGCTGGAAGGATGGGGCTGAGAAGGCATCTGTTTCAGAGAAAACTTTATGTGGAGGATTCTCTTGAGACGAGTACAGATGATTTTTTCTGAGCACTGAAGTGAACTCTTAAAATAGATAAGAGTGCTCTGGATCCTAAGAATCGGTGATAAATCCCAGTGATCAAAGAAGGGAGCATGTTTAGTGGACAACAACCTGGGCTTTTAGAAGAGACTCAGTTTTTACCACTGTTGGGATTTATCACAGATTTTCAAGAGCACTCTAAAACCATCTCGGGATCCTGTTTATTTTGAGAAAGCATGAAACTCTTCCTAGTGAAGGATGGCTGTTACTACAAACAGTATGAGATAATTTCACGGGGCCATGGCAAGACAAAGAAGGGCAGTACTGAAAAAAAACTTTAAAAACAAACAAACCTGGAATCTTAATTATTTCTAAACAAAAAATGGGTAGACTTTTTAAGGGCTTCAGAATACTACAAAAGAATCACAAGAACATTTTAACATTGAGCGTGTGGAGAAATGACTCAAATGCAGACATGAGAAGAACACTGGCAGGACAATAGGCTCCTTAAGATGGAACTTCTAACGCCACCTTGGAAAAAACTTTGGATGAGTTCATAGCACCAATTTATCTTTGTAAAATCTGGTATAAAAGTGTTTTGATCTCTAAAGCATAATGCTTATTTGCTTTGAACTGAAACCATTGCAATCAGGAAAATGATCTTCCATATAAAAATCCTGAACTCTCACGTAATGAATGGCACAAAAGGGGCTTACATTAGTTTTGTCAGTACCTCATTAGTATCCCATTACACTGAGGGCTTTTTAATGAATTGTCAAAACATGTTAAAAGCCCCACATTATCCTGATTTCCCCTCCTCCGCCCCCCTCCCCCCCAAAACAAAACAAAACTGCACACTGATCTGGCTTCAACTGATTTGTAACAGGCTAAAATAGTGGTCTTATCACCCAGAGATGTAGTGAGTCTAAGTTAGACATAGGCAGGTGAAGCAGATTGTCAAGCATTTTTTTATGCAGGATAATAAAAGAAGTCCACATAGGACTGTTTGCATGGCTTCTGATAGGCCAGGAGGCCTTTAGCTACCTATTTGGAGTTGGAGCTCTCTTATGTTATTAGCCATAATGCCAGAGCAAAACTCCATGTCAAACTGGGAGCCCATGTGACCAACTTCTGAGTGATTATCTGAAGCTATTCAGCCAATGAAATTTGCTTTGGTTATCTGCAACAAAAAATGAGAACTTTCCATTTGGAACTATTAATCAAACCTTAGTCTCTCCAGGCGTTTTGTTATGAGCAGCACTGGTGGAAAGACATACATAAGCAACCTTCCCCAGGGGACACAGAAAGTGTCCTTTGCTAGAGGTCCCTCCTCTAGATTCTGTGAGCAGAATACTAGTTTGGGTGAATTGGGAGGCAATCCAACTCCCATGTCACAACTGTATACAAATCTGATCAGTCTCTGATACAGAGACAATTTATGAGGATCTATCAGAGACTGACTCTGTTTGCAATTGTGCTCTTTTCCCCTACTTGATAGCTCTGAACACCTGCAGGATTATCCAAAAGAGGAAGCAAAATCTGGTGCTTCCCCTCCAGTTGATGTAAAAAAAGATGGTGTGATAGCCCATTTGAAACATAATAGTCTTTTAGGTTACCAGGTCTTTAGTGTATTCAAGATTGTCCTTATTTCAAATTACAATGCCTCACTATAAGAGTAAAAACATTTCAGATTCTTGGACCCGTATAACCACCATACCTAAGGTAAAAATTAGCATATAACTTTTATTCACTGTTTTTAAAACTAAGGAAAATAAATATTGTTGAAAAATGCAATGTAGACAGAAATTTTGTTAAAGCCAGAGTCTATTATTATGGTACAGTAAACATAGGGTCATTTTATTTTCAGAAAATCTGGTGAAGTATTTATGTTGTTACGCTATGAGAACTGCAAAAGGTCTGACTTCAAAATATAGTAGGATTTTCCAAAGAACAAAACCTGAAGATCTCATAAGCTATTTTGGGGGGGAAGATATTACTAAAACTGTGCATCTTCCACTTTTTAAAATAAGGTTGGGCTCTTAAACTTTTCCCTACCAGGACCAGCTTAGGGCTCCTAAGTATGATGCTTGCAGAACTTTTATGTTTACAACATTGCCTTGGATGAAAGAGTCTTCTCATTTTGTAAGCCCGTAACCTTTTACTTGAAGAATTTAGTTTCTTTCTTAAGAATAGATAGTGGGCCTCCAAATGGATCAATGCTCCTTCCTCTCAATGGCCATATGCATGCAACAGAATCCTTTGATAACTACTGTGACAACGCTTTTGAAGCATGTTGATAGCTGGCAAACAATCAGATGCATGTTCTACTTTGAGTCCACTAGAGAAGAAACTCAGATTGCAAGTGGCAGAGCCGCAGAAAAGGAGAGAAAGGGAATAGGATCAAGACCGCCCTGCTGTTCGGCTCCCTGCAATCCAATTAACTTCCTGTTGAGTGGAAAGCTGGAGAGCAAAAAGCACGCAGGTCCGGCAGGACAGGGAGATAGAGAAAAACGTCAGGCAACTGGCTATAGAAAAGTGGGCAACTTTCATGACAAACATGCTCCATTTTGTAGCTTTGTGAAAAAATGCTATATTCCATGGCCATAAAATGACAATTCACAGGGCCTTCATCAAGATGAATGGGACAGTTCATACTTCTCAGTTATTTTTTCAGGCTGGCATAAGTGTATATTCAGTTTACACTGTTTACGTTCAGTTCAAGTTTTTCCTATTATCGCTATGACTTATGGGCTAGTAAAAACTTTTTTTTTTTTTTTATTTTAATATGAAATGTCA